GTATTTATAGGCAAGGAAGGGGAGGGAGAAGATAAGAGAGGATAAATGAATAGTGTATGCCGCCTAAGTCTAAGTGAAAACCAACTACTCTGCAGGCAGTCTGTACAGTGGACGTTTGAACGTTGTTTCTGTTTTGGCTTTATGGGCATTCAAATGTGGTCTGACGTTCGAACGTATCTTCTGTCTTTGCTTTAGGGGCGTTCGAACGCCAGATGGGGTTTGACCATATCACTCAAGTGGTCTATGGTCTTCTGTGAAAACCCACTTCCACATTTCATGCAGAACTTGGTATTTTGCACTCATCACTTTGGTCTTCAATTAAATCAAGTGGACGTTTGAACATGAGTTGGCGTTCAAACGTGGTACTAAAGTACCTTAGAGTCTTCTTTCTTAGCTGCAACACGCCATCTTTTAGCAGTTTGGGCTTCAACTAGACATTTGAACGTTAGTTGGCGTTCAAACGTGGTTGGCTTGGTACAAGCTTTTCCAATTTTGCTCTAGAATATGTTAGTGTTGCATGAAAGTTTGATATTCATCTCCTTTAGTCCCTTGTACAATTTATGGCCTGAAATGCCATCATTTAAACTCCATCAAATATAATTAGTCTTAAAAGAGCATATTAATATCCTAATTTTAACTACTAATCAATACCCATAACAACTGAGCGCAAGGCACGTGTTATCTTTTTCAGGGCAGTGCTTCCTTTGCGAAGGCTTACCCCTCTCGAGATTGTACCCCTAACAAACGAGCGCAAGGCTCATGTTATTTTTTCGAAGGCAGTACTTCTGTTGCGAAGGTTTACCCCTCTCAGAGTTGTACCCCTACAACCCAATGCAAGGCTCGTGTTATCTTTTCGAGGGTGATGCTTCCTTTAGCAAGGCTTACCCCTCTCAGGGACGTACCTTTAACAACCAAGCACAAGGCTCATGTTATCTCCTTCAGCCGGGACTATGTTGATTATGTACTCCATAACTTTTGTTAATGAAAATATTTCCTTAAGTTCAAAACATTCCATGGTAGGATTACATGGTCCCCTTTCATGTCCTCGAGCCTCTAACACCTTGTTCCCCCCATGACAATGACCTTATATGCCCCCCCCCCCAATTGGGTACAAGTTTGCCATCAATTGATTGCCACGTGTTCCCCACTGAAACTCCTTGCTCATACCCTCTTCTTGTTGCTTCCCATCTTTCTTCTACTAGGTTGAGGTCTCGGACCAAGGTCTGATTGTTCATCCCCGACTCGAATGCTTGGCTTTTATATAATCAGGAACCCTAACTCCAAAGGTATGATAGCCTTCACCCCATATCTTCAATGAGACTCCCTCTATTTTTTGAACTTTTTTACTTATTAAAATTCAAGAAGATTAAAATTCAATTCGAACTAATTAAAATTCATTTTTTAACATATTAAAATTAAAGTCAATTAAAAATTATATTTTTTTACGTATTAAAATTAAAGCCAATTAAAATTCGATTCAAGCCGAGTAAAATTCGTTTTTAATGGGCTCGAATCAAATTTTAATCAACTTGAATTAAATTTTAACCGTCTTGAATATTTTGGTACATAAAAAAATGTAAATTTTGATCGACTCAAATTTTAATACATAAAAAACGAATTTTAATCTGCTTGATGTAGAAAGATTGTTTAACATTTATGTAAGGGAAATTTTTGATATTTTAGTTGATTTTTTTTAATGATGGTTTAATGGTTAGGGATGTCAACGATGCTTAAATATAAACCAAAAAAAGTGTCAATGATATTTTGGATAATAGATGAAATATCGTTGAAGATATATCTATCTAGAAAGGATGCAAATGATAATTACCCTTATTTTTACCTTAGCAGGCCTGTGGGAACTAGATTTGGTTGAGAGAGAGGAATGCTCTTGGTTCATAGGTCATGTTGATCAACCCAAAGATCTATATAATAAAACAAAAGGGAATTTGAATCTTATACCCAACATATTTTCCCTCCCAAAACCATCTCATCCAACCGATCACCTCCTTCTTAAGGTTACAATGCAATCACCTACACACAGTCGCCTGACTCACGCATCCATCACCTACACCCATCACCTCCCTTCTTTTCCTCTACTCCTTTGCCTTAATTTTTTTTTTACCTTCCACTTCATTTCCTCTTCATTCCTTTCTCTCTCTCTGTCTCTATTACCACCATCAAAGCCATAGCCACCAACTTCGCTGTAGCCAAAGCCACCGCCATGGCTATAACCACAGCCAGCCAATGCTATAGCCAAGTATTCCCCCCGCCACCCTTCTTCCCCCTCTGCGCAACCCCCCCCCCCACTCTCTCACTCAGTTCGAGTTCGATAGCAACACTTAAGGAGGCATTGATGCCCTTGAGAGTTCATTTAGAAAAGAGTGAGAGAGAAAGTCAATACTAAGAGCACAAATCTCATCACCTGACCTAAAGAACAACCAAACCCATATCACAAACCCTTCACAGAGCTCTTTTGGTTCTTCCTAATCGCATCATGTATCAAATTCCTCTTAATTTCAGCCTACCACAACACAGAATTCCTTGCCACTAGTTGGCTCTCACCCACTCTCTCTCTCTCTCTCCCAATGGTACCAACCTCGTGGACTCTAGATTAACCACCATTCTTTGCTCATTTTGCACACTTCCTCTCCCTCTTTGCCTAGTTCATCGACCCCACCATGGTCCACCTCCAAAACGGCCTCAGTTACAAGTCTCATCTCACCATTTTCTACCAGAGAGTCTCAGTAATCTTCTCTGACATCATTCTGATTAAAGGAGTTTATTGTTTGACACGGAATTTGGAGAGAAGAAAGCGAATTTTGGTCTAGATATTGGTGATTTGGTCACCTAGGTTTATGATTGTTGACCATATGCACTTTCAATATAATGGGTTTCTTTTGGGGATTTTGTTGGTTTATTTGGCGGCATTGCAAGAAGGAAAGGATTTGGTTGGTGGGTTTGCTCTGTTTTAAATCTCTAACTTGCTAATCCAATCATACCCATTTCCTCAACCTTTCATCTTCACATGGCTTTCAAGGCTCTGGTTCTAGTACACATCCAAACATAGGTTAATAAATTCCCTCTCTCTCTCTCTCTCTCTGCTTTCTATCCCAAACTTTAGCATTAATTTTAATGGTGTTTGAAAGGTGTATTTTTTTTTGTGACTTATGTCGTATATCCCTAACACAGGTTTTTATCATCATGTTTGTAGACATACGCTATACGTGAGCTTTGGCCATATAGGTTCCTCCATATCTTCACCGACCCATCAAAGGAGCAAGTGTAACACAACCATCAAGGTAAATTGACATTTATGTTTTTGGGTGGCATTGGATATTTTTGATGATTTGTGTTGCGATTATTTTTCTTGATATCTCTCTATTCGTATCAAAGTTGTTTGCATTGTTGCTAGAGGTCGACATCTCTCTATTCGTATTGGTATATTTTGAAGTGGTGTACTTAGTTATAGTGGAAGCTTTTACTACTTATATTGCATTTAGGAGTTTTTCATTTGATTTCTTTATATGTTTGGTTTTGCTAGATTTTGATTTCTTTGTTAGTTTATGGACTAAATTTGTATCATAAAGAGCTACAGACACATTGCCACCAACATCACATGATATTTTTCTATTTCTCTGTCCAACATCAAGAGGGTTTTCTTATTTTTTTTCTTTTGCTATTCTTTATCATTTTTTTAGTTAAAATGCAACAACATTCAACATTGTGTGTTCCTCGAGGTGGGTGGATTCTACGTGTACATTTATTTTTTGGGATTAAAATTCTCTAAGTACGATTTTTGAATATAAAGTAGGTTTTATACGTTGAGTGTGGCAAAACTACGGCTAAATTTTTGTTCTTTTGGTGTTTGTATAGTGATGTTTGAAGACTACACTTGCAGAAGTGGGAGCATTTGCACCACAATATAAACTACGGCTAAATTTTTGCTCTTTTGGTGGTTATATGATGATGTTTGAGGACTACACTGGCTCAGTGGCTTCTTGAAAGCAACGAAAAATTGAATTTGCTAATTTACATGGTGATGACTTTTATTTTGTTAGTTGGGTCCAGGTGAAAAATGTTAAGGCTAGTTTGATGGTAACTATATCACATGCATCATAAGTACTTTAATCATCTTTTGCACAATGCTACCATAATATGATTTTTGGCGATCATTTCCACTACTAGCATGGATGAAATGGAGGAATTTATATTGGAATGGATGAGTTGGATTTTTTAATAGCCTCCAGCTTGACAGAATGAACATGAGACTCGTATTCTAATACCTTTTCGTGGTGGCATAGGGCTAGCATAATATTTTTTGTTAAAAGACAATGAGTTCTAATTTTAGCTATTCTCTTGAGGCCCTTTACGCACATTAATATTTAGTGTTTGCTTATTTCAAACGTGTCTATGTTCAGTGTTTGATTGTTTCGTTTTTTCAAAAACAATGTAAGTTTTTTTTTTTTTTTTGAATTGCACAATTTCAGGCACGGATTATGAAGACAATTTTGGCTTTCAACTAAGTACATGTCCGAGTTTAGTACTTAATTATTTCGTGCCCAAATTTAGTGCTCGATGTTTTTTGAATTGCACCATACTTTCAGGCATAGGTTATCCCTATAACATTATAATAAACGAGTTTGAGGAAAGATATCTTATGAAATAAATGGGTCGCCCTAAGCTTGACACGAACTTGAAATTACACACCCGAACACAAATGACACAACTATATTGTCACTCATGGATGGTAAAACTTCATAGGAATGAACGCTACAACACAACATTGTTCGAACCTCGAAACAAGCCATCAGATCCGACAAACAAATGATGTCCAACTCATAGATTATTATTCAACCGATCCCCACGCCCGTTCACAAAATGAATAGAAAAAGAGAAGGAAAAAATACCACAGATAACGGATGAAGGGTAACATTGAGGATACTACTAACCAAAAACTGGGAGATCTGCCAGAAAAGCAAAGAACGCGGTGAACAATAATAAGTTTATGCAAAGAAACAAGCAAACCATTATTAATCTACGGCTTTCTCAATCAAACAAATAGACTCATTTACATGAACTACTCAACGATCTACAGCTTTACAAAAAGCTAGGGCCAAATTTTAACCCAAAAAATGACATTTCTTTTCATCACGGTACTCGAACTATGGGAAAATTGAGTTCATAACTTACAATCTGGAGACCAAAAGGACCAAAAGAAGATCGTAACAGTACTTGCAACAAATCCATCTGAATGCCAAAACTTGATCACCTTGCTCACAGTTAATGTTGCAATTTTTCTGATCTGTGCATAGAGAAAATCAAAGAAAATTCATTACTTCAAATCGTGAAATATAATGAGTGGTCATGCAATACTTATTGGAAACGTGGAACCAAATGAAGTTTGTATGTGTTGTGTGGTGTACTTGGGGTTGGGTCGGGGTTGCGTGTGTGTGTGTGTGATTGTTTTTTTTTTTGGGGGCTGGGGGTAGCCAAAATGCTGGTTCATCAGATGTATCACTCACAATCTTATTCTGAAGGTTTATAGCTAAGAGATTATGCCCCAAAGTATTGTACCAAGTCATCATCAAGCACAAAGTCTACATCGGGGATATCTAATGGACTTGTACCCTCAATTGCAATAAATGGACTGTTGAATCCTGTATAATCTAGTGACAGGCTATTGATTGGAGACTCGAAATGACTCTCAACAGGTCTATCTTGCTCATCCCGAAACGTGTCTTTATCAAAGCGGTGAAGATCTCCTCCAGTGATATAATTTTCATGTCTATTGAGAGATGGCAAATGGACACCAGAATCCTCCAGTCTAATCTGGACTTCATTAAATGCCATCTGGGACTGCTGTCCATCACGACTGGAGCCAAATTCCACCGATGGATTATAGAAACCATATGTGCAGCCTTGGTGCAAACCAGAACTTTGTTGTCCATGATGCAAATCAGAATTTTGAGCTCTATAATGCAGTTCAAATTGAGATACGTTATGCAACTCAGAAAGTTGAGGATCTTTATGCAGCCCAGATACTGGAGGTTCCTGATGCAACTCAGAATCTTGAGATCTCTGAAACATCCGAGAATCATAAGGTACATGCTCAGAGTTTTGAAACACTGGATAAAATAGGGGTCTGCTGCCCATAGGCATGTTCTCTGTGGGGATCACGTCAGCAGCAGGAAGGGTGGCAAAACTAGTAGAATGAGATGCTGGTAACCCGGACTGGCCCTCGGGATCTTTCTCCAGCGGCCTCACAGCTGTAACCACGTCATTTTGCTGTTGTCTGTCTTGCATTTGATAATTGGCTAACTCTACATCAGAGTGGTTTATATCAGGCAAAGCGTTTCTCAGATTTTCATGAGGCTGCTCATTGAGAGCTTGTGCAGCCTGTTGATCGGTAGGGTTTGATCTCAAGCATTGTCTTTTTCTCCGAGGTAGCTCCTCCCCTTGCTCTTTATTCTTACCAGGTTGGGGGCTGGTATTATAAGGATGAGCAGATGGTTCCACATCCATTGATTGATTTCTCATGTTATCCTTAGATGAAACAGAGCCCAAGTCATTATTGACACCATCCACATCATAGTCACTATCGCTATCACTGCTGATGGATGATTTCTTCTTCCCACAACGAGCACCTGAGGGTGATTCAGTTATGCCAGATGACCAATGGTCACTACTAGGCTGCCAAATGAGAGCTTCCTCATTGCTCAAAACACCTAACCAAATTGAGCTCTCCTTAGCAGTCATCTTATCCTGTAAACACTTCGACTTTCGAACCAGCCTCCTAATCTTTGCAATATCAGGCAACATATGCTTTATCACAGCAGTAAGAACACCGACTTTCCACATCTTCTTCAAATCATGTGGCTTCTTATATGGAGGGCTCTGACCCTTGGGCAGCCGCAATCTCATCCACCATTCTTCATTCCCCGTCGGCCACCAAGGTGGGGGAACAGCCTTCTCTAATGGGTACTTCCTCTGAGGTGGATCACAGTGCTGCATCAAAGAAGACAAAAGAGACCCCAACGTTGCATCTTGCAAATCTTGCAGAATGCTTTGTGAGTTTCCATTTTGCTTACCAGCTCCCTCACGCTTGGCAAGACAGTCCACTTCATACTTGGCTATGGCTGCTGGCCCATTCTTATCAAATTTCACCTTTTCTTTCCACCAGGCTCTTATATTATCCGAGGAACCGCTAACTGGCTTACCCTTTTCAGGAATTATACCATACACAAATCCACGGGCTTTGCACACCTCCATAAGTTTCAACATGTACTTCAGAATCCCGTCCTGAGCTCGCGACATTTTCTTCCGCCGAGCCTGATCAGTGATGTGATTCGCTTTCTGCTTCTCTGCGGCTTGCTGGGCAGCAAGCTTCTGCCTTTCCTTGATCCTCTTGAGTTTAATACGGTCCTTCCACATTCTCCTTTCCAATTCTTCCGCTTCAATCTCCTCATCACTAACCTCTTTTTCTGTTACGTTCTCAGACCTTATGTCATCAACTTCAATATCTGAACTGCAGCCCAATAAATCAGCATCAATCATAAAATGCTATATTGAAACCACTCATGGTAAATAAAAAAACCCCAAGAAATCTCAAAGTATTCAGTCAAATAAAGTCCTCGGCCAGTTTTTCAAAACCAAACTGTTTCCGATGCACCTCATACTGCTATAACCGGAAACTAATCTCCATAAGAACTTGGACTTGAACACAGTGGTGGGAACACTTGACCCAAATATAAAGATAGGGAGCACTTGACCCTTGGACCTCTAAATAATCCCAGGATTTATAATGTTAAAAGATTTCTCTTCAATTTAAGACATCCCCCCCCCAAAAAAAAAAAATTTCATATTTAATTTTTTTTTTATTTAGTTACCTTAGCTTTTTTTTTCTTCTTAATAACTTAGTGGCCCACTATTCAGCCCCCTAACCAAATAAAAAATGTTCTATTTTTAGACAACGTGAGAGAAATGTGAAATGGTCTGCTGACCCTTCGACATATTGGCAAAAAATAAAACATCTCTTTCATTTAATAGTGTCCCTATTAATTTAAAAAAGATTAAATCAGTTGTTCTCGAGGCTTTTCCCAGTAACGTGGTAGCTTGTAACATAGTAAGCATGATTACATGCAAATGGCAAAAGCTTTGGCTTTCCAAAAAATCAATCTCTTAACAAAATGGAGAGTGATCTCAAGCAGGCTTTGCAATCAAATGAAGGATTATTTGCCACAGGCTCTAATAAAAAATTTAGTATAGAATCAACTGTAGACGATCTTGTTCAGCTTTGATATATACTTGACATAGGTTTTACTGTTTTACATTCACATAGCTATTTAGCCTTTAATGTTGATATATTTATCATGCTCAATTTTAGAAATTTTTTTCTCGGTTTTTTCATTAAGATAAAATCTTGGATCTGCCATTGCTCGAACACATATTTACAGCCCAACAATCTATACTGAATTTCTATGTAAAACCTAAAAATCAAATCACTAATGCTTACAACACAGAACTAATTTACACCAACCAAAACTATTATGCGAAATTTTATGTGTACCCACTCCTCAAATTTTACGGGATTTCAGTTTCCTACACAATCCCAAAAATTGGAAATGCAATAAATTGCTGAAACCCTAATGAAATTCTGTTAATATTAACATAACTGTCGCATAGACCAATAAATTGAGAGATACATATAGATGATGCAAAAATTTCTTGGCGAGATAACAGGATTCAACAAAAAGATTACAGAAACAAACACGAGAGAGCCACAGACACACATACAGAAAGACAGAGAGAGAGAGAGAGAGAGAGGCTCTTTGGATCAAAAAAGACTCTCAAACCTTACCTGCTATCAGCATCAATCTCCTCAAATACACCCATGTATTCCACGTCGATGAAAACCTGAACAGTTTGGACCCGTTTTCTTTTCTCCTCCAAACAAACCGAAACGACAGAGAAAGAAGGGGGAAACGAGAAGGAGAGAAAAAAAAGTTAAAAATTAAGAATATAATATTTGGAGTAAATTATACTTACCCCTCAACTATTATCTTTATTTTAATTTGTGCTTTCAACTATAAAAATTCTTACACTATACCCTAAAGTATTAATTTTATTTTATATCACTCGAAATTCTCACAATATACCCTAGAACCAATTTATTTTACCTCTTTTGTAGCCAAATGGCTGTTGAGAAGAAAAATAAGATTGACCAAAGTACAAAAATTTAGAGTTTAGGAAGGGCAGAGTCATGACTGAATATTTTTATTATTATTATTTTTGATGTGCACATGTGCAATAGACAATTGCAAATTGACAGTACATATAACTCAAATGCGTACCATCAAAAAATTGACAACCATTATGTATTGAAGTGATATGAAATAAAAAATTAATAATTTAAGGTATAATATGAGAAATTTAGTAATTTAAGGTATAAAATAAAATAAAAGTAATAGTTCAAAGGGGTAAAATATAATTTACCCTAATATATGTGTATGGTATATCTGTGTGACCGAGAGAGAGAGAGAGATAACACAATAGGCAAAGAGAGTCAAAGTAATTGGTTGTTTGATAACACCACTTAATAAATTAAATTTGTTTAATAACATAAAACTCATATTACTTAATATTTTAAGCACTTTTTTAAAAATCGATTAAAATTTTAAGTAACAAGCTACCTAATTATCACTTAATACTAAAAATATTAGTCAGGAATGATTTTACCAATTCCTCATAATTGACAAATATACCCGCAATGCATCTTACACTTTTAACTTTTCAACACCCATCATTCACCAAAAACCACAACTATTGTTTTGTTGTCGTCACTACCACCACCATTGTGCTGCTACCGACACCATCATTGTGTCATCGCCACCACTACCACTACTATTATGCAACCACCACCACCATCATCACAACCACTGGCGTCACCACCACCATTCTGTTACCGTTACCATCACCACCGCTAATGTCACTATCACTACCATTGTGTTATCGCCATCACCATTGTCATTATTCACCGCCACCACTGTCACCACCATTGTGTCGCTGCCACCATCACCATTATGGCACCACCACCATCATCATTGTGTTGCTGCCACCACCACCATTGTCATTATTCACCACCACCACTGTCACTAGCATTGTGTTGTCACCATCACCATCATCGCCTCCATCACCACTACCGTTGTGCCACCACCATCACTGCCATTATGTCACTATCACTATTACTGTTGCCCACCACCACTATTGTGCCACCGCCACCACTGTCACCACCATTATGTATTCACCACCATCACCATCATGCCACTACTACCACAACCGTTGCCACTATTGTATTGTCGCCGCCACCCATCACTGCCACTAGCATCGTCTCCATTGCCACCACCACCACCATCATTGTAATGGTGATGGAAGGAATAAGGTAGTTACAAAAAGATAGTTAAAAAGAATGAAAAAATTAGAATAATAATAATTTTCAAACTTCAATTTATTATATTTATTAAACAGTTTGATTCAATTAAATACTTCAATTTTAGTTGATATCAAGCAGTCTTTAAATTAAAAAATTCAACATTTAACACTTACAATTTAAAATTCAATTTTTAATGTTCAACTTTCAGTTTTATCAACCACCACCAAAGATGTGGGTGGCCTGATGACTTTTTATGAAAAATGGGCGAAATGGTAATTTGTCATTTTCAGTATGGGTTAAAAATCTGAATTTTTTAAAAACTTGGATGATAAAACGGACCTCACCATTAGATTCTTCTTGCGAAATCTAGTTACTTAGACAAATTTCATCGAATTATGAGATAGTCATATTTTTTCCATTTTATGAGGCATTGGGTCTTAGGTGACCCAAAAAAATAAAATTTTTAATAAAATCTGAAATTTAAAAAATCATTTAAAACAAGTTGAAATAAAAATATTTTTGAACTTGAATCGAGACGAAATTTAATCGTTTCGAGGTGAAAACGGACACGAAAATAGGGGACGTGTGGCGCAACGTGAACCAAGCAATTAAAGGGTATAGATAGGGGAGAAAAATTAGATTTCTCCCATATTCATCAGTTGGTTCTCACGGTGGAAGAGAAGAGATGGAAAAAGTGAGAAAACTTCGCCTTCTCTCTATGATCTACGAAGATTGGTTGCTCGAATTGACTTGGGCCGAGAACAAAGGTTGTTCTACGCGTCGAGGGCTACACGGCTATACCGAATAACGAGGATTACACCGAAGGTCCAAAAAAGAGATTTGGGAGAATTCAAGGTGAAGGCATCTTGGGAGTTCTTAAAGGCTTTCTACTTCAAATTTTTTTATGCTCCAAGAGGTAGGGTTTCATCTTAACTAGGTTTATTTTCAACCTAGGAGTGTGATTTGGAATGGGTAGGTCATTAGACAATTTTAACACTCGGCTATTGTGATTAATTGGATGAAATGGGCATATTATAAATGGGTAGAAATCGATTCTCGTATGAAATGGGTAATTAGAAATTGTTAGCTTGTAATTTCTTGGAAAATGATGTTATGTGGGCATTCTATGCGTTTATATTATGCTTTGTGAGTTAAGAGTGTTATTGGCATAGGTTATGTGATAACATACTCGGGAATTGTTGTTGGTTTAAATGTTGCTACATGTTGTGGATATATTGATATTATGATAAATTATGGTAATTATATGTTTAGAATATAAATTGCCATGAAATATGTTGATAGATGTTTAAATTGGTCCATTTGGCATTCATAGCATATTGAACATGAAATTGGTATTGCAATAGTTCATTAAATTGCATTTACACAGAGACATCACATTCATGGGCAGTAACGTGAGTGTGGATGTGTGTGCATGTTATTGGATCAAATACCATCCTTGGTGGTCGATAAGTGGACTCGGTATAGTTGAACTAAGGTTCAACAGAGCCACACGTCGCATGAAAAAGGAAACTTGTGTCAGGTATAACAAGCAGCGCTAGACTCTCCCTCGGCTGCAAGACCCGGTTACTAGTTTCTACACTTCTGTCAATACAAGTCCAAAAAAGTGTATCAGTGTGCGGACCCGGAGGTGAGACACCAAAACTCTACTACCCAACAGAGACACATGATTTTGTTTTATAAAAAAGACCATTGGATGTGCAACATCAATGGCAAGGGTTTGAAATACCCAATTTTATACTCATGACATTGCATGGTTGATGGGAACTAGTGAGGGCTCAGGTTGACTTGCATGAGTGAGTTTCATCTCATTTTATGGCATGACATAGTAAATTCTAACACTGAGTTGCATATTATTGATTGGAATTGTTGTGGATGGTTGATCGTTGCATGTGAACATTTCATATGCATCTAGGTTGGGAAGTAGCCTCTTTAGGACATATTCTATTGAGTTTGGCTCACCCTTTATAAAAAAATATTTCAGGTGCGAAATTCACACCGGTGGATGGCTCACATCTCTAGCCTTAGGATTGAAGAAAATCTGAAATGTAGTTCCAGAGAAGGGACATGGGTACACAGTGTATTGTGATGCCTCCAAAGATGAACTTGGTTACGTTTTGATGCAGTCTGGGAGGGTGGTGGCTTATGGTTCTTGGCAGCTAAAGAAACATGAACAGAATTACCCTACACACGACATGGGAGTTGGTGGCCATTTTGTTTGCCTTGAAGGCTTAGTGCCACTATTTTATATGGTGAGTAGTTCAAGATGTTTTTAGACCATAAGAGTCTGAAGTACATCTTTACACAGCAGGACCTCAACATGAGGCAACGTAGGTGGATGGAGTATTTGGAGGATTACGACTTCATTTTGCATTACTACCCTGGTAAGGTAAATGTGGTGGCTGATGCACTCAGCCGGAAGTTATGGGGAGTCTTGGTTAGTGTGGCTTCCAAGGAGTGGCAGATGTTCAAGATTATGGGATAGTTTGGGCTACACTATAAGGGTTAGGCTCAGGGCACTTTGGGAAGTTTGGTGGCTACGCCTTTCCTATTGAGTAGAGTGATCGAGTCCTAGGGGCATGACACAAAGATATTATCCAATAGGGACTGGGTATGGTCGAGTATAGGTGGCAAGGGCTAAGCCATTTACATGGATGGTAGTCTTCGGTATAGGGAAAAGATTGTGGTTCCCTAGTTAGCAAATCTGAGAAAGGAGATCCTCCAGAATTTCCATTGCTCCCATTTTCCTATGCATCTAGGAGGCACAAAGATGTATCATGATCTTCGTCACCAGTATTATTGGAGCAGGATGAAAAGGCACGTCAGAGATTTCATTAATCGATGTCTCACGTGTCAACAGGTTAAAGCTGAGCACCAGAAACTAGCAGGGTTGCTCCAGCCTTTTGAGGTGGTTGAGTGGAAGTGAGAGCACCTTACGATGGATTTTTTGATCCACTTGCCATGGATATCGCTAGGGCATGACGCAGTGTGGGTAATAATGGACTGGCTTACAAATTTGGCACACTTCTTGGCAGTGCGGATGACCTTCATACTGGAGGAATTCTGCAGGCTATATATACGAGAGATTGTCTGGCTAGATGGCGTGCCCGTGTCTACAGTATCGGATCAGGTTCTCAGGTTCATAACTCTTTTTTGGGAGAGTTTTTAGCGGGCCATGGAGACACAGTTCATGCTGAGCACATCTTTTCATCCCCAGACGGACGGTCAATTAGAGACAACCATCTAAACATTAGAGGACATGCTACGGGCATTCATTCTAAACCTCAAGGGTAGTTGGGAATAGCATTTACCCTTATTAGAGTTCACCTACAACAATAGCTATCGGATGAGCATACAAATGACACCTTATGAGGCATTATATTGGAGGCCTAGTCATTCTCCGATTTGTTGGATGAAGGTTGGAGAGAGACCCTCAATAGGTCTAGATTTGGTTAGAGACGACTCGGAGAAGGTGGACTTGATACGAAAACGTCTTATCATAGTTCAGAGCCGG